CTGTGTTGTATTCTTTATAATAAACTGTAAGATAAATAAAGTGTTTTCCTGAGTTCTGGGAGTCATTCTAACAAATTGTCAAACCTGAGGAGAGGCTTGTGGGAATCCCCGACTTATAGCTGGCTGGTCAGAAGTTTGCGTGCCCCGACTCCTGGGGGCTGCAACTGGCCTCTGGGGTGGGGACAGCCTTGTGGGACAGAGCCCTTAGCCTGTGGATTTTGTGCTATGGAGTTTGTGCTGACTCTGGGTAGTTAGTGTTAGAAAAAGGACTGAATTGCTGGCAACCCAGTTGGTGTCAAAGAATAAAAGACTCCAAATATGCAGTAACAGGGAAAAAATTTCTCATAGTCCTGATCAATGAAAGTCAGAAAACAGTCACAATTATAAAATCAGTTCTAAATTCAACTTGGGGAATCATTACTTCAGTTTCATCTAAATGCCAAAGTGGCCCTCATGATTAAAGTAGCAATTCATTAGTGATCCTTCAAACGATGTAATCAACACTATGCTTCTACTTAATTAACATCTGAAGTTTAGGTCTTGGGATAGCACTGAATGCTGGAGGATTACATTTTAAGTCTTATTTTGAAATAACCTCAAATTTACAGAAAAGCTGTCAGACTGTCACAAAGAATTTCTTTAGGGGCCTCTGGGTGGTTCAGTTGGTTAAGTGTCTGACTCTTGGTTTTGGCTCAGGTCATAATCTCAGGGTGGTGAGATCGAGCCCCCGCTAGGCTCTGCACTCAGTGGAGAGTCTGCTAGAGATTTTCTCTCTCTCCCTCTCTCTCTAAAAATAAATAAATCTTTAAAAAAATAATTTCTTTATACCCTTTACTCAGATTCACAAAATTATAACACTTTGCTATATCTGTACTATTTTTTCTAAATTTTTCAAGTAAATTGTATACATCATGCTCTTTATCCCTTAATATGCGTGCTTCCTAATAACAAGAATATGCTTTTACATTACCATGGTATAGTTCCTGAAAAAGTGAGTGTTTTTTTCTTACACAGGATTCAATTGAGAGTCATGTCTTCACTTGGTGGTCAAGCATACTTAGTCTCCTTTAACCTCTAAGGACTCCCGGCCTTCCTTTGTTTTCATAATACTGACAACTTTAAAGAATAGAGGCAAGTCATTTTATTGAATACCCCTCAATTTGGGTTTCTCTGCCGTTTCCTCATGATTGGATTCGGGTTATAACTCTTCAGCTTAAATATGACATAATACATGGTATGTTCTTCTCAAAGTATCATATCTGGAGGTACATAATGTCCATTTCCCACAATTACATAGTTACCATTTCTCTATTTGTAATTAATTAATTAGTTGTGGGAATTAATTTGAGATCATGTTAATAATTTGTTCCTCAGGAAACTCTCTCCTCTCACCCCAGATTTAGCATCCAGTGATGAAATTTGCCTGAATCAATTCTTACTATGATGACTGCAAAATGGCGATTTAATATCTCCATTACTCTTTTCATATTTATTAGTCAACATTCTATGGTAAAAAAAAAAAAACAAAAAAACTTTCTCTGGGCTCCTGGGTGGCTCAGTCGGTTAAGTGTCCAACTCCTGATTTCAGCTCAGGTCATGATCTCAGGGTCATGAGAACAAGCCCCACATCTGCATCTGCATCTACATCCATAGCTCTGATCCTGCTCAGCAGGGGAGTCTGCTCAGGATTCTCTCTCTCTTTCCCTCTGTCATTCCCCCTGCCCGCCTGCACTCCGGAGCACTCTCTCCCAAATAAATAAATCTTTAAAAAAAAAAAAAGAGCTTTCTCTTCTCCTTTATTTAATCATTTATTTATTTTATTAGTTCAAAGGACTAATGGATTATTTTATTCAATGTAGATCTACACCCACACTCCACTTATTGTCCTTATTTAATACTCAAATTTGGCCAGGTGAAATCCACAGAAGCTGGCTTCTGGGTCTTTGACATGTCCCCAAATTTTGGGCAGCCCTTCTTTCCCTGCTCCAGCCCCTGAATCAGTCTTTTCTCCAAAGAACTCATGAGTTCACTTCAGTGAAGGTGAGTATTTAGAATCTAAGGTCTGGGTGGAAAAATTGGTATTTTAATTCTGAAAAAAGAAAAGAATCCTATGAGCACTGCCTTTAGATTAGTTTGTGAAAGATGCATACAAGATTCTACTCAGGACGACAATAGTCTACTTGAGCTCTAAAAGAAAAGGGGCTTTCAAAATGTATGAGCAAGTATTTCAACTTGGCCAGTCAACTATGACTTACTCTGTAAGCTATAATAGCTCACTCAATCTTACTTTAGAAATCTAAAAACTGTAAGTAAACTCTCTGAGTCTTTAATCAAGCTATTCCATTAACCTTCTGTGAAGGGCATCCAACTCTTAACAGGATATTAAATATTCTTCAAACTCATTAGAAGGCTGTATTTATGTTCTGTTTACCACCAACCTGCCTTGGTTTAAGAGCTTTCTTTCATGCCACCGACAGAAGCAAGAAAAATATCAAGAGCAAAGGCATCATGTATTAATGAAGTAAAATAGAGAATATAGAACACAAAAGGCCTATTTTAGTTGTGACTCAATAAATTAAAACCACATTTAGTATAGGCTAACTTTATCCACAGGCAAAGACCAAATAAATCAGTCTGAAATGCAAAGTTCATCTGTAAGCAGTCTGCAAAGATCAAATAGGATCTTCTTTTCTAATACACAAACATCAATTTTTTTCAGTACTTTGAGGTCTCTATCTCCCTATGCTTTCTATAGACGAAAACCAACTAAAGATTAAAAATCTAAGGTAATAATCTACCATTTGAAAAGAAAAGAAGCTAAGAAGTATACCAATAAAATTTTAAAAAAATAAAAACAACTTGGAACTTTTAAAATACAAATCTTCTTTCATAATATAATGCACATGTACAAACACTCTTAGGATACGATTTTTTAGAAGTAGCAAGGATAGTCACCGAAGGTACATGACTATTACGCACTTCAGTAATAGAAACCTCACCAAATACCATATAGACATAGATACAGATATATACACACACCCACATTTACTAGAGATCAAGGGATAGTGGGAAAAAATAGACCCTATACATCAACATATTATATGACCTTGAGTAAGTTACCTAATGTTTACGGGCTTTCCTACTGTCACTTATAAAAAGAGGCAATTAGAGCCACTGGGTTTTGTAACTTCTTTACTATTTCATATTTCACCATGTTTTACCATTTCACTGTATATCATAATTTCATAAGGTTAATGAGACTTTGCCAAAGCAAGAAACAGAATTTAAGCTTAATAAGAGTTATAACCCGAACCCAATCATGAGGAAACAGCAGAGAAACCCAAATTGAGGGGTATTCAATAAAATGAATGGCTTTAATACCCTTGAGCTCTTTACTAGTAGAGCTTATTCTACCAGAAAAACAACTTGTATTTTTAACTAGCTAACATTTATTGGAGACTTACTATGTTTGTCAGGTACTGTGCTGAACTCTTTTAATTGCATCAGCTCATTTAATTCTTAAGACATGCCTACAGGAGGTAATACAGTCCCTCAGAATAGACAGAGCTTAAAGAGATTAGCTTGCTCAAGGTCACAACAGCTAGTAAACCACAGAACCGAGACTCAAACAAGGGGACTCCAAAGCTTATGCACTTAACCACCATGCTACACTACTTCCTCATAAATAAATCATGAGCCAAATTCATCCTTAATTTAATCTCTAACAGGTACTAATTATTCCCTTTCTAATTACAGTACAGAAAATTGCCACAAGTGACAGCCAACCTAGAAACAACTCCAGATTAATCATGTGAACAAAAAGAGTATTTAAAGGCTTGCTTTTATTGGGACGCCTGGGTGGCTCGGTTGGTTAAGGGTCTGCCTTCAGCTCAGGTCATGATCCCAGGGTCCTGGGATCGAGCCCCACTTTAGGCTCCTTGATCAGCAGGGAGCCTGTTTCTCTCTCTTCCACTCCCCCTACTTGTGTTCCTGCTCTCGCTATCTCAATCTTAACAACAACAACAAAAAAGGTTTGCTTTTATTAAAGAGAAGTGCGGTGTTTTGGGTAATAAGCAACCTTTCTTTCTAATAAACAAAGTAACATCCATTAAATCTGAAAGACCAGCAAAGATCTTAAGGTGTGATATCATTATTCAAATACAAAAACAAAACAAAACAAAACTCCTGACAATTACCCCAGGTGGTGGGGTTTGTCCAAGAGAACATCTCTTCTGATAACATCAGCCTTATCTCCAACACCATTTCAAATTTACTGAATAACTCTGATTACCAATATAAAGGTTCAAAGACTAAGCCCTAACAACAGACATTCTTTTTCTTACTTCCAGCTAGGCCACTTCAACTAGCTGTCTGCTGACTGGTAGAACACAGTTTAACTTTAGTGATAATCCTTTTACTGGTATATAGCATTTTAAGAAGCAGATGACAAAGATAATGTACATACAAATCCATGCACTAGAAAACACATACTATGGATTACTTTCACCCCTCCAAAAGCCCAAAGCAAGCCTTTTCCTATATGTTCCCTATGTATTTCTTCAAGATGCAAGCTGTCTCTCAAGCGCTCAGAAAACCTCTATTTTAGGTGACTTTCAGCCTAGAAACAGTCATTTCTGATTAAGGTATGGTTAATAAGGATATTATACAAAGGAAAATAAACCAGAATCCCAAAAATTAAAGGCACAAAAAACAAAACATTCAAAAAGATACACATTTGGATGGTAATACATTTTATAAGTAGAACTACATTTTTGTAGTCCTACAGGGTAATAAACAAGCTTCTCCAACACACAATGTCCTCCAACCAAAGAAGATTTTTGGTGTTATATATTGTCTGACCCTTAAACCCCACTTCAGTTTCAAATCTGAGTGGATATCCCCTGAATGCTTACAGAAATTAAAAAGCAGAGCCCACATGCACTGTGGAACTACTCTGTATCTCATTTGAGCACGGAGGAAAAAACGAATCAGAAAATTACCCTTTTTTGATCCAACCCTGGATGAAGCACTGAAGAATTTCTTTACTGTGGTAACTTTGCGGGTCTTCTCATTGGTTTTCTTTTCTTCAAACTTGGAAAATGTGAGGGACTGGGCCCCTGGGCCGCTCTGACTGCTGGCAAAGGCCTCTTCCTCCTCCCGCTGAAGTCTGCAGTTCAAGAGAGGATTAAGAATGAGCCAGACATCCTCTAAGTTTTCCCTGTATCTGAAGTTATTACTCAATGAATTGCAGGGGCATCTAGAAGGTTTAGAACTGGAGGCTAAACACACCAAATAGGTCTGAGGTGTCTGATATGAAATTATCCCTACAGGATCCTGGACTTCAAAAGGGACCTTCTCCATGGATTGTATTCATTTAGCAACTGTAACTAAATGTAACTAAGGTTACAGAAAAGCACTAAACTCTAGTCCTTTCCACTAACAAGCTCAAGGTTGAAAAGGAGAAAGAGATAAGTAATTACCATGTAACGTGACAGCTCTTACAGTAGAGAGTAAAACCCAACTGCTGTGAGAATATAGCGAAGAACAACTTAATCTGCTAGAGAAGTCCAAGGTTCTACAATGGTGACATTTAGGCTGAGCTTAAGAGATGAACAAGATTCCACTGGGCAAAAGGACACTCAAGAGATGAACAAGATTACACTGAGCGAAAGGACACTCCAGGGAGAGGGAGCTACAAATGTGAGGGCAAGTGGTTTCTTTTGCCAACTAAGTTAAGCGAAGTCATTGATGGTGTGACCAGATGGTAAGAAACTTTGACAGCCAAGTCCATTATAATCTTAGATTTCACTACATGGTGCAGAACCAAGAACGACTGTAAATCCAATAAATTACCATTATCAGATCTGTGCTTTAGAAAAATAATGCAGGTAGCTATGTGATAACTTGAGGGGCAATAATTAAGAGTATATTATACATGGGCGCCTGGGTGGCTCAGTCGTTAAGTGTCTGCCTTCGGCTTGGGTCATGATCCCAGGGTCCCAGGATCGAGCCCCGCATCGGGCTCCCTGCTCAGTGGGGAGTCTGTTTCTCCCTCTCCCACTCCCCCTGCTTGTGTTCCCTCTCTTGCTATATCTCTCTCTGTCATATAAATAAATAAAATCTTAAAAAAAAAAAAAAAGACTATATTATACAAAGATTTAAGTGAAAGAAAATAAAGACCAGGAAACTAAGAAAGGGTAAAATTCAAAAGACTTCTCTGAGCTGGAATAAGTTCTACTTATCACCCAATTAGTTTTAGAGAGTGTGGGAGAAATTAAGAATGATTCCAATGTTTTTTAGCCAACTGAATAAAACAGTGATGTCATTAATTGACACAGGAAGAAGGGTAGGTAGGAGGAAACGTTGGGATTGAGGATTAGAATAAATAAAAACAAATCTGGCCTAGGACGAGCTGAATTTGAGGTATTTATACTAAATCTCAAAGGCTGTCCATAGAACAACGGCTCTATATGGTGATCCCAGCAGCATCACCTGGGAACTTGTTAGAAATCCAAATTCTCAGACCTCACTCCCACCCTACTCAAGTCAGAGACTCTGCAGTAAGGTCCAGTGATGCCTCTTTTTATAAGCTTTCCAGGTGATTCTCATGCTTGTTCAAATTTGAGAAACAGTGCTATAGGAAATCTCAAGCAAGGTCACAAATGGAAGCAGTAAGAAACAGCAAGGAAATCACAGGCAGAAGTGTTAGTCTGAAAGTGCAATAGGGACACACCTCCCTCTGAGACAAAACAGAAGTTAACATAAAGATATTAGCACATTTTGCTGTGGAGAGGGAAGAAAGCTAAGGGAATTCATGCCTAGTGACCTCCACTTTCTTCATGAAATAGGATCAGCTACTGAGAATATCAGTGGGAAACAGGATGAAATAGTTAATGTTCTATGTCTACATTTCCTGTCTTTGACCATAGAGTTACTGAAAGCAGTGAGCATGCATTATAATTGAGTTCACCACAAATGCGAGCAAAGTGGTCACTCAACAACTATGGCTGATTAAATATAAAAAAACTAGCAAAAGCTGTCAGAGTTCAGTCTGACTTTCTTTTATGGAGAAGTTTTACTGTTCCTAGGATGTTTTGGCAAAAGATTAACATCATGCATGGTATTTTATTCATCCCTATGCTCACCAGCCATTCCATCTTTTACTTTTACCATAATCATATATCTGGATAATATAAACTACTTTTCACTAACAAACCCCATTTTTAAGAAAAGGTTAAGTTTCCAAAATGCAAGGGCCATGTATACAAATCAACAAGTTTCTACTTTTGTGTTTATCACCATGTCAGATGCCATGCTGAATCTATTACAAGAATGAGGAAAATGATGCTTGATGAGAGCCATGTGCCGGGTCCTGTGCTAGGGACATCACAGATATTACCTCAGGTGACCTTCACTATGAAGTATGTGTATATGCATTCTTCTAGTCCAAGAAGCCTATTATCTATATTAGAGAACTCAGACTAACACACTCTAAGCACAAAATAATTAAAGGAATAAAGATGAAAATGAAGTAAACACTGAAAGCTATTCATTAAATGCTGACTGAGAAGAAAAGGGTAAAAAATTTCATTTCTCTTAATACTAAGCTGACTTGCTGACAGCTCACAACAGGAGAGAAAAATGGATTTTGACAGTGACAGAACTGTATATCCAATCATATCACAGTTAAACCACCCCTATTTAAGTCCTTTTACCGCTCTGCCAGTTCCCAATCCTCCTGAATCTGCTTCTGCCTTGCTTTGTGGTACTCTTCCCTCCAGCACTTGGAGCAGAAACCCTGCCAAGCAGGGTTGCCATAGTAACCACATCCTTTCTTGCAAAGGAGCTCTGACTGATCCACATGAATTCCTCGGCGTTCAGACTTAAGGCTCATCTTCTTCCTGCTAATCAAGTAAATAAGAAAGTGATATTGCAAATGAATTCACTATCATTCTTCTATTACCACAGCAATTAAGAAAAAAATGTGAGTCCAGGGGCGCCTGGGTGGCTCAGTCATTAAGCATCTGCCTTCGGCTCAGGTCATGATCCCAGGGTCCTGGGATGGAGCCCTGCATCATTGAGCTCCCTGCTCCGCGGGAAGCCTGCTTCTCCCTTTCCCACTCGCCCTGCTTGTGTTCCCTCTCTCGCTGTCTCTTTCTCTGTCAAATAAATAAATAAAAATCTAAAACAAAATGTGAGTCCATAATCTTCAAGCTATAATGGAGGGAAGGAGGGCAGAGAGGGAGGGAAGAAGAGTTTAAATATAACAAGTTCCTGGGGTACCTGGCTGGCTCGGTTGGTGGAGCATGTGATCTTGATCTCGAGGTTGTGGGTTTGAGCCCCACACTGGGTGTAGGGATTACTTAAAATCTGGAAGGAAAGAAGGAAGGGAGGGAGGAAGGAAGGCAGGCCCATCCGTCCTGACAGTCATACTAAAGAAAACACTTCTTATTTCCTTCTCAATAATATAAAGAATACTTTCAGAGAGGACTAATATTGGATTAAAGACCTAAATGTAACATATGAAACTATAAAACTCCTAGAAAAAAACTTCATGACATTGGATTTGGCAACAATTTCTTGGATATGAAACCAAAAGTAGCATAAGCAACAAAAGGAAAAATAGACAAATGTGACTGTATCAAACACGAGCATGGCGGAGGGTGGTAGGGCAGAGGGAGAGGGAGAAGCAGACTCCCTGCCAAACAGGGAGACCAACGTGGGGTTCAATCCCAGGACCCTGGGATCATGACCTGAGCTGAAGGCAGACGCTTAACGGACTGAGCCACCCAGGCACCCCTGTAACAAATGTTTATAACAACATTATCCACAATAGCCAAAAGATGGAAATAACCCAAATGTCCATCAACTGATAAATGTATAAACAAACTGCAGTATATCCATACAATGGGGTATTACTTGGTCATAAAAAGGAATTAAGTACCGATATACGCCATAACAAGATCAACCTTGAAAACATTATGCTAAGTGAAAGAAGCCAGTGATAAAAGACCACATATTATATGATCCCCTTCATGTGAACGTCCAGAACAGGTAAATCTACAGACAGAAAGCAGATTAGCAGTTGCTTAGGACTAAGGGGGAGAGGATAGGAATAAAGGAGATAGCTAAAGAGTATGAGGTTTCTTTTTGAGATGATGAAAATATTCTGAAGTTGGCTGTCATGATGGTTGCCACTGAATTGCCTGACCTTTAAATAGCTGAGTTCTATATGTGAATGATATACCTCAATAAAGTTGTTTTTAAAATACAGGTATAGGGGGGTGCCTGGGTGGCTCAGTTGGTTAAGCGACTGCCTTCGGCTCAGGTCATGATCCTGGAGTCCCGGGATCGAGTCCCGCATCGGGCTCCCTGCTCGGCAGGGAGTCTGCTTCTCCCTTGGACCCTCCCCCCTCTCATGTGCTCTCTCATTCTCTCTGTCTCAAATAAATAAATAAAATCTTTAAAAAAAAAAAATACAGGTATAGGGGCACCTGGGTGGCTCAAATGGTTAAGTGTCTGTGTTTGGCTCAGGTCACGATCTCCAGATCCTGGGATAGAGCCCCATGTCGAGCTCCCAGCTCAGGGGGGCATCTGCTTCTCCCTCTTCTTCTGCCCCTCCCTCTGCTTGTGCTCCGTCTGTCTCTCTCTCAAAAATGAATAAATAAAATCTTTTTTTAAGGGGCGCCTGGGTGGCTCAGTCGTTAAGCGTCTGCCTCCGGCTCAGGTCATGATCCCAGGGTCCTGGGATCAAGTCCCACATCGGGCTCCCTGCTTGGCAGGAAGCCTGATTCTCCCTCTCCCCTGCTTATGTTCCTGCTCTCGCTATATCTCTCTCTGTCAAATAAATAAATAAAATCTTTAAAAAAAAAAAATCTTTTTAAAATAATAAATGAATGAATGAATGAATAAATAAAATATAGGCATATCTTGGAGATCTTGAAGGCTGGGTCCCAGAAAACCACAATAAAGCAAATGTCACAATAAAGTGAGTCAAATAGGGGCGCCTGGGTGGCTCAGTTGTTAAGCGTCTGCCTTCGGCTCAGGTCATGATCCCAGGGTCCTGGGATCGAGCCCTGCATCGGGCTCCCTGCTTCACGGGAAGCCTGCTTCTCCCTCTCACACTCCCCTTGCTTGTGTTCCCTCTCTCGCTGCCTCTCTCTCTGTCAAATAAATAAATAAAATCTTAAAAAAAAAAAAAAGTGAGTCAAATAAATGTTTTGGTTTCCCAGTGCACATAAACATTAGGTTTACACTATACTATAGTCTAAAAGTGTTTAATAGTATTATATCTAAAAAAAAAAATGTACACACTTTAAAGATCTTTATTGCTAAAAAAAATACTTTACTGCTAAAAACTGCTAACCATCTGAGCTTTCAGCGAGTTGTAATCACTGATCACAGATACCATAACAAATAATAATGAAAACATTTGAAATATTACAAGAATTACCAGATCTTTTTTTTTTTTTTTAAAGATATTATTTATTTATTTGACAGAGAGAGAGCACAAGTAGGCAGAGTGACGGGCAGATGGAGAGGGAGAAACAGGCTCTCCGCTGAGCAGGGAGCCGGATGTGGGGCTCGATCCCAAGACCCCAGGATCATGACCTGAGCCGAAAGCAGCCGCTTAATGGCCTGAGCCACCCAGGCGCCCCAAGAATTACCAGATCTTGTGACACAGAAACACGAAGTGAGCAAATGCTGTTGGAAAAATGGTGCCAACAGATTTGTTCAATGCAGAGTTGCCTTACAAACCTTCAATTTACAAAAATGCAGTATTTGTGAAACTCAATAAAACAAAGTACAATAAAACAAGGTATGCCTGTAAAAATCAGAAAAAGAGGGCAGAATGGGAAGTCAGATTCAAAGAACTATCAGTTTTGAAGGTGGACAGACTATAATCCAAGGAATATGGGTGGCTTCTAGAAGCAGACAATGACCCCTGGCTCACAGCCAGCAAAGAAATGGAGACCTCAGTGCTATAACCACATGGAACTTAATTCTGCCAGCATGAGTATGTCTGGAAGCAGGTTTTTCCCACAGCCTCTAGATAAGAGCCCAGGCTGGCTGACTTCTTAATTCTGACCTCCTGAGATCCTTAACAGAGTACCCAACTTGAGCTAGCCAAGAGTTCTGACTTATAGAACTTTGGGACAATAAATGTTCTTTCAAGCTGCTAAATTTGTGGCAATATGTTATAGCAACCACAGAAAACGAACACAGGCCTCCTTCCCATTTGTCTTTTTTGGGGCCTTTGCACTTACGTTCCAATGCCTAGAATGCTGTGCGCCCTGCTGTTTGCATAGTGACTACTCTCTCATCATGAAGGCCTCAGCTTTCATGTCACACTTCCAGAAAGGCCTTCCCTGGCCATTCTATCCAAAGTAGTACCTCCCCAACCTCCCCAACCCTCACCTCTACACTGGCTCAGCATTATTTATCTCTATCTAACTCTAACAAGGGAGGGTAGGGAAAGAGTTAACCAAGTAGGATCAATTGCTAAAAAATCATACACATTCTCAGAAGGGCCTGCTTAGTATGTGACTAGCTCTTGGTCAGCTTCTGGGAATGGAGGTCTTGGAAGTGTCCTTGTGTTTTGTACTCTTGGAGCTTCAAGCCATACTATACAAACTTGTTTAGATGGTTCGTGCAAATAGTGTGATGTATGGTGAACACCTGCTTTCTTTCTGGGGGTCTGGAGTTGGATTAACTGTGGTCAGTCATGAAGAACTATGTAGTTGTGCCTGTCTGACCAACCTTCAACAAAAACCCTGGAATTCAGGCTTAAGTGAGTTTCCCGAACAGAAAACACCTCCCATATGTTGCTACAATTTGTTGGTGGGGGATTAAACACACCCTGTGTAACTCCACTGGGATTAGATTCTTGGAAGCTTATGCCTGGTATCCTCTAAACTCTGTTCAATGCACCATTTTCCTTTATTGATCCTGCTTTGTATCCTTTCACTAGGTATAAAACATAGCCAGGAATACAGGAGTCCTATGAGTCCTTCTATCAAATTACCAAACCTGGGGGCAGTCTTGGGGAATACCAACATAGAGTATGATTATAAAGGGGTGGCATGAGGGAGATACAGAATAATTCTGTATCTTGACTATGGTGGTGGTAAACAAAAGAGTTTGTGGAATTTGCAGAGCTTCCCACTATTTTCCTTATGAGAATCCTGCTTCCTATTCTTGGGTTCAACGTCATGTCCTCATAGATCACTCCTCAAGGCTGCGATTTATAGGAAACATTCAATCAACTCTACTAAAATGATAAAATGTCCTTTGACCTCAGTTAAGAAATAAAACTTACAGGTAAGTTTTTTTCCCCCTTAAATTTGCTTTTCTCCACTTACAGAAATATAAGATGCTTACTCTAAAAAACCTTATATAGAAAAGAAGAAAATAAAGTACAAAGAAAATAAAAACATCACCCAAGTCACTATATTCTTGTAGTGCTTTCTCTACTTATCACTCATTTATTTAGCAAATATTTATACACTGATATACATTATATGACAGGTACTTTATAAAGTAAAAGTAAAGTTTCAGTCCTCATGGTGCTTGCTGTGTAGTATGGGAGATATAACTATGTATCTAGAAGGCCTGAAAGAAGAAATGAAAACACTATGAAAAATGAAGAAACAATTTTAAAATTACATAAAAGAATTTATGTTTATGTGGAACAAGCTAAATAGGTATACATGAAATCTATGGAACTCTGAAAATAGCCTAACAATAACAAGATAGAAAATATAAAAAGAAATCTCATTCACAATAGTATCAAAATGTAAAACCACCTAGGAAATATTGTAACAGGAAAATCATATGGTTTACAATAAAAATTGAGATACAAAGAAGGCTGAAATAGTTGGTAAGACATGCCAATTTTTACTGA